AACCAACATACCCTGTTTGATATTGTGGGTTCTTGTGAAGCACTAATAGATAAGGGTAGAGTTTCTATCAAACTACCCGCAGCCTCTAACATCTGTTCCCCTTCGCATTCCACGTCTGTTTTTGTCCACCAGTCCTCGTTGTACCAGCCAACTATGATCCACACGTATTTTCTGCCATATACTTCTTCCTTGTAGGCCTTGGAAATTTTAAAAATAAATCATGAAATAAAAGCATTCGAAAAGAATCTTTTGATGTCCCCTGCAGAGCAAAGGCAATGATGTTACCGCTGAAAAAGTGAAACGTACGTTATGCGACGGATTCATTTAAGGTAGAAGTTTTGAAATCTAAGTCAGGTGCCTTTTTTATTTTGATTTTCGCGCCTATTTAGGGCTTTCTACTCAAAATATTACAAAAGAACACGTGAGGCATTTTAAAGTGATAAAAGCAAGGAAAATGATTTAATTTAGTGTTTGTAACTTACCGTGCACATAGCTTTCCTGAACATGTCCTCGTACATCAGACCAATTATGATTCTCGCATCTCTCTCCTAAACTCAACATGAATTAAACTAATGAGTGGGAGATTAGATTCATTATCATGGCGAGAGCAAGCAACAAGCCTACAATGCGACACAGGATTCTCTTTTGTTGTTGCGATACCAACCTTCCACCCCTCGACGTCAACCCTTTCTTAAAGGAGAGATGCTCTTTGAGCTCTGCGTGAACCGTGACAATTTCGGTTATATTTTACCTTGAGTAAATACTTGACTGCTGAAGACGGATCATTTTTGAAGCTCTCTGCTGCGATTATGGTAATGTTTGATTCCTCCAACATTGGAATAAGTGCCTCTTTGGTCTGTTAAGTAATGAAAATAACCACCAATGAATAATTTTAACAAAGAAAATCAATAAGTAGTTCTTATCATTCTGTACATTTGGCGAATAAAGCCCTTCGGGCACTTGGTACGTCGGCTGATAATATCCGTGGCTGAGAGACTATCTGAAAAATGTAAATTTGGCCGAGAAGTTAAGCTCCCAGGGCAAATGTGAAATTTTGCTTAATTTCGAAGGAAATAACCGAAGAACACGCAAAAAAGGGGGTTATTGTGTGATAACTGTCTTGATTGTGATTTTGCAACACGTAACGTAAAGTACCAGTAACATAAGCAAACATGAATAGGTGGGTTGTAAGGAAGGATAAGTTATTTAAAGCTATTTGCAAATTGTAAAATGGCTACGTATTAACGTCCATTAAAGAGTTAAAGAAATATTGGTACTTCATATATCTCACCAGTACGTAAATATCCAAGTTTTGTACTATGAGGCCGACTTTTTTCCACTTAAAATGTCTTAAAAGTGCAACTCTAGACGGGTTTTCCATTGTTTCAGAGGTGCTCGTTCTAAAGTACAAAGGAAACTTCTCCTTGTCTGAAAATTGTGGCGATGACGTGCTGTACCCAATCTGAGAAAAGAACAAATTTAAAATAATTTCTGGTTTGCTAATGCACATCCTCAATACAACTCAAGATCCTATTTTATTTAATCACTTTTCTTCCATTTACGAAGAAAGGTTGATATAGAATTAAATCTATATGTATTGAAAAATTTAATGAAGTTGAGTAGTTATTTAGTGAATATTTTGGAGGCGTGAACTGTATTTCTCTTTCTTCCCAAGTTAAATAATGGTAAATGAAGGAAAATTTTCCTACGGGTTATATTAGCCAACGAAAAAAAAACACATTACTACTATTTACCTGCACTGCCTGCCAATAAGGGGCGGCTTCTGCAACAGGTACTGTTGCTACAGAACATCCGGGACCCAGGAAAACAATCTTGTGTGGAGGAGTGTCAATCATTCGCAGCATTGCTCTTATACCTGATCCACTCTCACACTACGAAAATTACGCTAATCGTTAAATGTGAGATTAAAAATTGGTGCCGTATCGCAACAAGTGTCTACTTCTTGGTTCTCCTTAGGGTTGAAAGATTTCGAACCCTTCGAGAGGTTTGTTTCCGCAATTTTCATGAGAAAAACGTTTTTACGACTGGCAAGCACTTTTTGTTGAACAAAAATTAATGAGCAAATAATCAAATTGAAAAAAAAAACAGTCTCCGATTTTCCGCAGTTTTAGTCTAAATTGTGTATGTTTCTTTTGAGCTCTACACAACTTATTATTCGGCTTTCACAATGTTAAACTCCTGGACATAACATAGAGATAATATGGCCAAGTGTTTTTGAATTTTCAACGGGTAACTAAGTCTATACCAAATTTTACCAGATTGTAAATATTTTACATTCGAACTTTTGTCCCTTATTTACCCCTACATACCTTGGAATCGTTCCACACATATTTCAGCTGATAGCCCACTAAAATGCGTGGGTCGTTATTCACGTGCTCCAGTGCCATTTCTAAGATTGGAATAAGGGCGGCTGAACTCCAAGCGCCTTTTTTAATATTGACACCAAAAAATCCCCCGATGTAGAGATCGGTCGTGTTAGTAGAGTAACTGCATCTGATTGTCCAAAACAGCAAAGTAAAGGTGACGAAGAAAAGCGACTTGTTCGCCATAACTGGCAGCCGTCCGTGATTCACTTCATTGCTGCAACCAAGAGGAAACAATATGACATCTGGAGAGGAAGTCTTAAAACTTTTACATAATCCTTTTGGATCGAAAGGAAGCTAGCTGCCAACATGACCATTTCCAGAATAATCCTCCGGAGACTGTTTATTTTAAGTTAGATATATGTCGGGGCGAACTGTTTATTTTAATCGATAGAGTATGGCAGTTTACAGCTTGAGATTCCCCGAATCACTTAAAGAAGATGGTTAACCTTATAATTCTCAGTAGGGCAACACTCTCGTGCTATAGTATTTATATATCCTTGTCTTTAGATAAAAGATCATTTTTTTGGCTGTCTCACCAATGTAGACACGTCTGACACAAAATGTATCACAGCAATAGAGACATCACAACTTAAGTGGCAGCTTATTTTTTCTGTTAAAAACTCATGCTATCGCTTTCCGCTTAAGGTTCAATTTAGAATCGAAAAAGGCAGATCGTTTGACAAAACTCGCTATTAGCTGCGAACAATGCCCAGAAAAACATTTTCGTGGGCGATTGCATTCAGTCTTAGCGTTTCAATTTTCTTAGAAACTCATTTTCATGTAAAACAAAGACAACTTTAACAACGGCAAAATAGATTGCGTGAATCTACCATCAACAATTTAAGCAAAATTTACGGGATGAAATTTTTGATCGAACTTTTACCTTTCAAGAACTGAAGTGATGCATTTTAAAAAAAGACTTTCGCGTTTCAGACTTGTCTTTGTTCTTGTGATGCTTTCTTTTCTTTGGCGATAATGGTTATAAACAAAAAAAAAACGATCACAGCAGAAGACCAAAAATACTGTATATTATGCATAATAGTTGAAATATTTAAAAGAGCTCCGCTGTCAGCGCAGTAAATACATTAGCCGACTACGTAGAGCCTTTCTATTTCGTGTAACCATAGATTGTTAGCATTGCGATCAACCTAACACATTCATAAAGGACTTTACTGGTTGTATTGTTTCCGATACTTGATGATCTACATTGGTGTTATGTACCAAGAGAAAATAATGGTTCCATTAATTTCTTTTGTGTGTATGTACTTATCTCTTAAAACAAAACTGCGTCAGAAGCGTAGCAATCATACACGCACGTACTCACTTTAGTTTCCTCCACAAATCTGAAAACATTTTAATTTTTTTTATAGACACAAGTCTTTTCCCCGGTTGTTTTTAATAAACCAGACCTACGATAATTCGATTATTGCAATAGTTGAAACAAAAACAAAACGGGTTTCCTCTCAATACCATGTTCAGGGAATTCACTGTTCCCGAAAAGCTTGGAAATGGAATTTCTGAAGCCCTTAATACTACAAGGTCTGTAGCAGTGGCGTCGATTTTCCTTTCGTCAGTGCGTGCCTCACAAAAAATACACGGCTACGTGATACAGAAATATCCTCTTTTTCACTGTTTATATCTAAACTTAACTCCCAGCTTTTATTGAACAAATCCTTGTTCACCCCGAAATAACTTTACAAATATATTTTTTTTTACAAATATATACAAATATATTTTTATGTCTATTTCTTTGTGAAGATATATCGCTTTCGGGAAGACAAGGTGACAGAAAACCTCCTCTGAATAATACAAAATGGAAGATAAAGGCTATGTTTGGAAGAAACAAAAGATTGTACACCATGCGAACAAAAAGATGAATAAAACTCTCATTGTGCATATTTTGATGACCATGATGCCCACGTAATTGATTCCAATTTAAAGTTAATATTTCTCAGCGGGATTAAATTTACGGCAACTGGCTTTAAAAAGTTTAGCTGCTGAGCCCATATTTGAAACACAATATTGAACATCTGCGACCGAGCGTTTATCTTTAAAGCCTGTTGTCACTGAAAAAAAATCGAGTTTTATACGTAAACTTCCTTGCAATATTTTAAACTCAAGTTGCAGACGATGACTTGTTTGAACTTGCGTTATTACACCGTTCTAATTATTGAGTCATTAGCCGTAAACATTTCGCCATGGCATAGTGGTCATAAATGTTACTAGTCCAACAGCGGGTTATGATTATTCTTAGATCGCCAAAAAAATTCGTGACACATGGAAGTGGGCATGAAGAGAGAAAATCTCTTTGAAAAGAATAAATAAAAAAAGATCACAAAAATGTATATATTGAGTTCGGTCTTAAAAGAGTAAAAAAAATGTGATTCGTTTCGGTGATGATCGGAGTAAAGGCCCCCCACATGAAATTAATCGAACCTCTGAACTTTCTTCCCCCGATGAATAATACTGAGCCGCGTGAGGGTCAGTGTTTGGCTTCGCCATACTGTTTAACGCACGTTTCAAGAGTCGTGCATAATGTTAAAATATAGACTTGCGTAGAAACGCGTTGTTTGTGACCTTTTAGAGGTATGTAAAGTCGCAGGAAGTTCATATGCTTTCGCTGTCTTACGGTCGTGAAAGACTAACATGATCTTTTTTTCATAAATGAAAACATTTATTGCCGTTTTATTTAACAGCCTCCGGCCCTATCTGACACAAGTCTACATTAAATACTGATTCAACAGTCGGAATGTTCCGAGAGGATTCGTCAAAGTTAGATAAGCTTCTTCGTAAAAGAAAGAAGGGATACTTTTGAAGTGACAAAATCGAAACCTGTATAAAAGTAATAATTTAATTTCCCTTTTGTCCTCCACAGAAAAACGTGATCTTGTCCATATTAATCACAGAGGGAATATTACCGTTTCAGGAGATTTCACATTTCATATAATCCAGAGACAAAGGACAAACAAATTGAAATGCAAAATTTTCTATTTGCCTTATTTCGTGCAGAATTATTGATGGCAATATTGAGGGCCTTACATGTTAAACCATTGATACATTATGTAAAAGTTCCTTGATTCACTCTCTCTCTCTCTTTCTCTCTTTCCATGAATGAAAATAATGCTCGAGGTATGCAGTATTTACAAGGACTTTAAAGTGCTCAGTGTTTTCTTTCATTTTTTTCTTGAAGTTTGCAAGTCAACTAGGCAGGCAAAATCTACATCTTGCAGGTGGCATTTCCAATTAGTTCACAGCTAATTTGCTTTTGTTTCTTTTCACTCGAATTCTTTTTATTTTGCTCCGTTTAGGGGTCTAATAACAGTTGGTGGTTTTGTGTTTGGATTAGAAGGTTTGCATTAGCGATTAGCGCCAGTTGACCCCTTAAACTTAAACTTTCTTCACACTATTTTTAAGCATGCTCCCCTAATAATTTAACAGATCGTCGGAATTGTCACGAAAACAAGAACTATTGAGACCACCGGGCGATTTTAGGAAAACCGTCTGTGCATAAGGAGATTAGCACACCTTGATCGAGCACTGCATAACTGAAGAAGCTACTTTGTCATTTGATAATCAATTTGCAATTTTATACCGATTCAGGAACCCCTTCCAGGCACCCATGGGTGACCCCTACTAGATCCATCTATCGCCAGGCTAAATGGCAAAACTACATTGACTAGGTACGGCTTCTGTAGCGCGTGATTTAAGAATTTTTATGACCACTTTATGTTTGACATGGAAGGGAATCAAAACTTGCCAAAAACCAAAGAAATGTTTTCAATGAATGCGCTACCTGAAAATCATTTTGAAAACCATATATCACCTCCTTAGGTATAGAGAAAGTGGACAGCAGTTGATAAGAACTATCACTACAAAACAAAACTAACTCAGTACAAAATCATCCTTTCATTTTAAACCTATTAATTACTTTACGGGTTAGTCAAGAGCCGTTAGCAATGAATTTTCATTTCCTGAATGGCCGGAACTCGAAGTTCATTTAAAGTCACCTTTCCGCACTGTTGTTTGCATAAGAAAAAGTTTGAATTTCATGGTTTAGGCATGTTAACAATATCCCCTTCGATATTACACTTTTACGTTTTAACGGCTTTTGTATCCGAGCGATTAAAAGTGAACGTGTTCTTCATGACTGTTTCTAGTTTTAGTATACAATCAGAGATCAAAGTATGTTTTTAAATATACAGTGGCATTTTAAAGAAGTTTAATCAAATTATTTTAGCCGAAGTTTGAAAAAGTAAAACTAAACGCTCATTTTGCTTAGTGAAATTTCGGTAAATGATGAACATCAAATGTCAAATATCATATAAAAATTAAAATAGCGTCAAAACCCCTGAAAATTCTGGCTTGCATCTCTGAGGACTCACGAGCCATTTCGAGCAAGCGCTTAAAACTCGATGCTGTAGTTTCAAATGGGTCTCCCATAGTCGGTTCCATTACGTACGCAACGACATCTCCTCCAATATCAAAAGTCGAGAGTATAGGGAAATGATTATGTTGTCGCCTGCGATTCAAACCATCTGATTATTGCAATTGTTATTATCATTTTTCTTGGCTACTAGACCTTAATAGTAGATGTTGCGAGATATACATCGCGGTAGATTTCGAAAAACGACAAGTTCTCTAAGCGCAATAACCATATAAATTAACTATGCCATCAACAACTGTAAGACAGTGCAGTGATGAAGGTGTTCCAATAGTTAAAGTGCTTACTTGATCTTCAAGGGCCATTTTGTCAACGTACCGCTCTTTGTCGACCGCATCCTGCACCTTTTGAGAGACTTTATCGGAGATATCGTAAGCAATCAAAGTCATAACTGTATGGATCCGAAACTGAGTTCGTTGTCTGATAAGAAGCATCGCATATACAAACAAAGTTCATTGTCATAAGCTCACAAATCTGACATTTTTGAAGACAGGTCATTATTAAAATTTCCTCTTAGCTTTAGTATTTAAACCAGCGTCAAACTCTGACATCAAAATTCGAATTTCAGCAGTGACCCGGCTTGATCCAATATGCCCCATTGAAAAATAGTATGTTAATGAGATCATTAACCGTAGAGGAAATACTTTTGGAACGAGAGGATGCCAAATAACCTTGCTAAATGAAGAGATTTACTAATTCATCGTCCAACGAGATTCTTAGAGCAAGTAAAATTTAAATTTCGTTTTCAAAACAAAGTATGCAATTTCCACTTCTTTTATCAAAAATTAAACAAATCAGTTCACTGATTCGTTCCGAACCATTATTAGCATATAAATGTAATATTATTCAAACACGTTGGAAAAATTATAAGAAAATTGCCCAGGTTTCTGTTTTATGCCCAAGATATCATCTACTCTTCAGCCTTTCCAACTAGTCATTAATACACCTAAATACAGGATTTAAAGAAATGAAAGGCTGCGATGTCGTCAAACCACTGACCCGCTAACAGTCCACGATTTCATTTTGAATCATCTTAGTTTATGTATTTACTTGAAATCAAGACGAAAATAAAAAGCAACGAATTCTATTCGTTTCTATACATGTAATTTCAATTTGACTTCACACTGCGAAAAGGCATTCAAACTGACTGATTGCACGCGTATTAGCCAACTCCCGCCTACTCGTTCCTCACAGTACTTGCATGGTTTCCATTTCATGAGGCGTTTAAAGTTCGCGAAAAAAGGTTACCGTTTAAAAAAGATAGCGGTTATCTCCACGAGATCTTATTTATTTGAAACAGTCTTTTTAAGCCATGTAATTTTTCCAAGAAAGTAATCATGCGAGTTAGAGCAATTCAGAGACAAAGACAAAAACAATCCATTTTTCAATTGTGGTTTCAAAATCACGACAATATACAAAACATCACTTCACATGCATCACCCAGCCATGTAGGAGCTCATCTTAAAACCAATATAATTTTTTTTTAATCAACTGTGTTGATTATGTAACTTGGCCACCATAGAGAGTTCTAAAACTGACGTTTTAAGCGTTAGCCCTTGGAAACACCTCAGTTTCTTTAAAAATCTATCCTCTATCAAACCAATATGTTAGGGTGACGTAATAAACCGCAGTTTCAAGATAGTGTTTGTCAAAATGTCATCGGCGTCTAATGACGAAGTTTTTTTCTTTTTGAAAGTGTGTTTGTTTTTGTTGTTTTGACCTCTTCTGTTACTCAGTGGTACTTACGGTGCGATGCAGTGTTA